AACTGAATGCAGTTTCATAAGCGATGATAAGGTGTCTAATTATATAATTGTGTAACAGCGTTATTATGCATACCAAGAAACAAAGGCCAGTCGACTGCGCAGTGTACTCTTCAACCGTTTAAAATATTCCGAGTAATTTCCGCGACAAAATTTTGTTCAAGAGATCTAAGATTTGAAGCTAGGCAATGGATATAATACGATTTTTTCTCTGCTTCCTCCAGCATAACTTAAGGGCAATATGTTTTGTCTAACAGAAGCAAGACCACTTAATGTAACTATCGTTACTGTAACGGGAATGTCGACGCTCGAAGAGACATCCACGTAAAACTGTAACAAATGTTTATTACTGTTAGGATGAATTTACAGACGACCAGGGAAGCAGAGCCGTGACTGATCAATACAAAAGTCAGAATCAAAGTCACATTGCGACTGACGGTCAGTCAGTAAGTCTTGGAGTCGAGCCCCATCTGGAGCTCACGACCAGACATTCATTTCTGTTTGACAGTTACGGTCTTGTTTCTGTGGGGTGCCATCCCTGACAAGAGGACGGCTCTTGCCAGAGCAGTCTTTCTCGGGTCCGAGTCCCTTAGTACTCGTGACCATATTTTACTGTCTCAGATTTGAGCCTTCCCTTTTCGTCGCCTCCTACGACTCGCAGGGTCACGGTGGAGGTATTCGACCCCGCCTCCACACGGATGACTGATGAATACCGGCGAAATCTTCTTCATATCCGCCTAGCCTGAGCTAGTGACGGCGTTCTTCATTGCAGCACCAGGGTGATTGCGAGCCAGCAGGTTGCCGGGCGAAGCTCTAACAGTAACGGGCTAGCCTGACCTAGTGATGGCGTTCTTCCTTTCAGTGGCTCGGTGACTGCGAGCCCGTGGGATGCCGGTCGAGGCTCTTGCAGTACTGGGCTAGCCGGTACCACTGGCGGCGAAGCCGACTAGCCAGATGAACGCTAGCAGAGTCGGCTGCCGATACTTGCTATTAGTAAACTGGTAGCAAGTATCGGCAGCCGACTCTGATCTTTCGATGCAAGCATAGCTGTGACTCACATTGCGACTGACGGGACCGACGGGACTGACGGCAAGTCAGTCTGTCTTGGTGTCGAGCCCCAGTATGACCAGATGTTTCTTCTTGAATAAAAGTTACTGTCCTGTCCTTGTGATGCGCCCTCTCTGACGAGAGGTAGGGTGTCATTTGTCAGTCATAGTCGGTAGTATTAAGTCCATTGTTAGAATGTACACATATTTACAGATTGACTCTTAATATCTACTCCTATATGCAATACGAGTAAATACAAGGCCTCTGTCAATCTTGATGCTAACGTGTGGGAGGTTCGCATCTTTATACACGTACTTTTGTCGCTGGGCGGCGTGCGAGCCAAAGGGCGTTGGAGATGCCGTGGTGAGCGATGATTCGTTAGCGCTCGTTTCACTGTGGGAGGTTCCCACACTCTTTTATGTTAGGCCTACATACTCCTTGTAATTAAATAACCTACGACAAACAATATTGCATCCACCAATTTGTACATAAAACCACAGGAAAAAAAAATGTGTGATGGTAAGATACGAAAACTCTGTATATGGCTTTTACGTTGTGCACGATGGCTATGAACTGCAAGAAGCAGAAGTTCATAACGAATCAGTGTCCAGGTTTTTAATGAAAACAGTAAGCAGATACCAGTAATTAATCATATACTGAGGTCTTCTGGGTTGTGACACCGTGTAATCTCGTAGACAGATGCAAAGGTTTCGGAGAAACGTGCTCCCTCCATTTCAGGGTGTCTGGTTGTATTTGTTACTGAACGACGTTGTCCATAGTGAGCCAATATATTGTTGATGATAGGTTGATTAATGAATATGGAGCAGATGAAAGAATGAGAATTGGCAGGGAAAACTGAAGTACTCGAAAAAAACCGGCTATAAGAAAGACAGTGCTATTGGCATTAAACTGAACAGATTTTAACAGTTCTATGGAAATAATGAACACATTTTCATAAATTCCAGAAGTGAACCTTACGAAATATTATTTTATGGTGTAATAACCATACATACGATTTTATATGGACTTGAACATTGGAGAAATGCAGAAATCCGTTTTCTCAGGTGGTTGCCTGCTGTGGGCTATGGAATCACATGTCATAATTGATGAAGATGTTAGGAAGAAATGGTACTAGCATATAAGCCTCTCAATGGGATACTAAATAGTACAAAGGCAATAGCTAGAATATTTGGAACAGTTGCCTGAAAACGGAATTCCTGTCGGTATAAACCAAAGAGTATAAGATGCTATAGACATCGAACAAAAATATGGATCAGCCCAAGAGCATAATTCGTGATGATGATAGCAGATGAAATGGAACAATTTTAATCCTTGTAACCAGAACAGGCTAAGAGTTTAATCTATGATGTTGAAACCTGGTACAATAATAATCCTTCTCCCCCCCAACTCAACAAAAAGAACTATCAGAGGAGTATTTTCTGACAGCAAATTGTAGCTATTTAAATTCCACTCAAAACAGAAGAACAAGAAGTCACAATGCTATAAAGCACACATTAAACCATGCATTTAATAGTTTACAAATCAGTTATTATAATTTGCAGCACGTGTAAATATCTGTATGCATGAAGAGTACGGTCTTTTGGGAAGTGACGCCATGTAATCCAGTTCACAGACGTTTCAAGGGAATGCCATGCCTCCACCATCAGGGTCTAAGAGTAAGCCAAGCAACAAGCAAAACACATGTGACAGTGTTTGCTTTGCTTTATAATCGACTTTGAAGATGGTGGCAGAACATTCCTCTGAATCTTGAGTGGACTTTTACTACAATACATGGTATCACATCCCAGAAGATGGTATTCTCCCTAGCCACTGATGTGAGAATCTTGGATCCAATATTTGTATGCATATGCACAGTATAGCAATTAAAATCGGTATGTGGTACTAAAATCAAAGTCATAATTATATACATTGAACATAAAATATAGATGCAATTAATACATACAGTTCTTATTTAAAAAGAAAGATGGTGTAGTGAGTGTGTAATATAATATGATAACAATATCTGACTGCTCATTGTGATGTGAATGGTATGATTAGCTATGTAGCAATATAAGTATGTTTGTGTAATAAATGAACATTAAGAATGATAATGAAAGCAAAGAATGGATTTGGAAAACATGTCTGAAATACGCCTTTCTACTCTTGTTCTCAGTATCACAGGGTACAGAACATGAAGTGGAATCAAGCTTGTGGACAGTAGGTTGAGATTCATGCAAACACACTAATGGGAAGGTCTATATTGATTAATGGCTGGTGTTGTAAATCACTGAAGTTGGACTGATTATCTATTGTTTGACAGTTTATCATGCTGGATGCTCCCTGTTGTAACTGGAACTTGAGTATCATCCAGATTTCCAAATATCTGCATCTGACTAGAGGAGACAATCATCTTTTAGTTAACTGTGTTCAGAATGAAACAACCAGCAAACAAGTGCAAATATTTCAATAATTCCATGGTGGAGGGGCTTCACTGAAAAGTTAATAGTTTTCGAGATGATCAAGATTATTTCTAGTTTTGGGGTTTTCATAGTTCCTGTTGGCCTGGACAAAGCTCTTTATCACATCTCCATCCCACATTTCCTCACATCTACACATAGGTCTCCAAAATGGTCTGTTACCTTCATGTTTGCCTACCAAATTCTTATATGCATTTCTTATCCCTCCTGATGGGTTTTCTTCTTTTAAAAATATTAGGTCAGGAGTAAAGAAGAAAATATTAACGTTTAAAATTTTAAAACAGAATTGTAGAAAAACATTAAAAATATTTTGAACGAAAGTTACAAAATATCTGAGGACTTTGGGATCAGTTTAAGTTATAAATTCTTCACTAGAATTGAATATTGTTAAAGAGACCTGCTAGAGTTAAAACTGCCTGATCAATTGTCCATTATCCTCTGTATCGATGCTGTAATTAGCTTTCTATAATTGACATCTGCAGGTTTTGCCTGTTTTAGTTCCTGTGATAAGTTACTCAACATAAAATTTTTATTATGTATGAAAATTGTATGGCAAAGGTTTAAACAGATCAATAATCATGCAATTAGACTCTAATGATTATAAAGAATCTGGCCTGATTCCCAAATTTCAATAAATATGTAACAACCATGCTGTAGGTCAATGAAGAGAATAGATGTACGGCCTGGCTGGTCATAGAAAAAACATTATTTCATTGCTAGACTATGTCTAAAATGTCTCTGTGGGTGTATCATTATTAGATAATAATAAAGGTAGTTATGGCATCATCAGAAAATTATTAGATTCTATTTTCAGCTACAGTGAAACAAAATTGACATATTAAAAGTACTGTTGAACATGTAGGATTTGTCATCTGTTAAGATTGCCTACTCAGGAGTATGATATATCCTCAAATATGTTTTAGACAAGGCTTAATAAATGATCTTGGCTGTAGACCTAATGGCAGACATATGAATTATTAAACCACAGAATTGGTAGTGACAAGCGGAAGAATGCTTTCTCTGAGACACTGAATGATGAGCATTTTTTTTACATAATAGTTTCATTTGAACTTCATGTAATTTTTTATCCATCTGGACCACAATAAAATTTATGAGGCACCTTTTATGATGGACCTTAGATACAAAATCGTGTCAGAATCCATGTTGAAGCTGACTTGTATGAATAAACAGATAGATATAACCTTCACATCATGCATTAATTAATTAATTTTGTACAAGTGGAGGGGGGGATACTGTTCAGGTGCAATTTGGTACTCAAGATAATAGTAATAACTAGTTTTGTTGAAAACAAGAAAATATGTTACTTCCAACTTTTTGATGGCTTTTGAACATGGGTTTTATACAGTAAGTAAGAACAAATGAGATTCTTTCTTTTGGGTATTTGTATCTCTTAAGTCTCATTATTTCCAAACATCTCTAGCACCCCAGTTAAAATTAGTGGTTATTGCAATGTTGCAGGATTGCAGGCAGAGTTAGCAGCAGCACACAAGGAATCAGAATGTGTGCGGCGGAGAATGCGACAGCTGGAGGAGGACCTGGGAACTTTCAAGGAGAAGAACAGAGAGCTTGAGGATGAGCTACAGAAGAAGGCAGGTGCGGTTCAACAAGACACATAGAACATTTGAAACATATTTCTATACTGGAATTTGGCTTGTTCTAGAGTACATGATTGTGTTCAAACATTTTTTAATATTTTTATTTCCTAAATTCATTCCATCAGTGTCCCAGATACCTAAGATATACTGATAGTTGTTCTGCATAGCTCTGCAATGTCATCTCTTACTCCAAAAGAAAGTCAGGGACTTATTGTGGCCAGAATTTTGCTTTGTATGCATATATTTTACCTATCAGGGAGCTTTAAACTTTTCCATGATGGCTAGCATGCTTTTCGTCACTGGTTCCATCATTTGTTTCCAGTTGTCACCAGTTTATGGCTGCATGACTAATGACACCAAATTGTCAAGTATTTGTGGTTGTAACCACTGCTGAAGAATCCAATACGATCCGAGCCGCCAACTTCTAACACCAAAATGTCCCAAGTAGGGTGGTACTTGTGACGAAATGATGGGTTCTAGTTCAGATGATTGGATTTATTGGCACTTTGGTTACAATCTCTCTTAATCTCATTTACTACAGGCAGTTCAGTGCTTTCACTGACTTACACTTTGTAATTCACTACTCAACGTACACCAGTCCTCTCTTGGTAATGCAATTAAAACACAGGAACTAACACTTCAAATCACTCCAAATATTATGCATAAATAAAATCTTCTAATAGCACTTTAAATCTTCACAAGCTGACAGACTTTCTGTGGCTGTCTCCTACCGAGAATTCAGAACTCTGTCACTCATAGTCACTGTCACTTCTAGTTCCCATGCCCTCTGATCTTATGGCTCACGGCTCTTTTTATATAGCCACAGCATGACTGCACAGATAACATGTCACTTGATAGCTACCTCGCCAGTCCCTTGCCTAGCAATGAGCTATAAACATTCACCTTATTGTTGTAACACACTCAACTGAAGATTGTTTACAGGTCATTGCCTATAAACGCTCTAGCCATCTGCCTCACATTATAAATTATGTGAATCCAAAAACAAGGGGTGAAGAAAATAATTGGACCTACAATAGATGAAGGAACATTGTGATTTATATAAGTTACCAATTATTGACAGAAGAGTGAAATTGAGGGGGTTGGTGTGGGCTAGGTATGTAGCTTGGATTACTGGTGAAACCACTGTGAAATACTCATATATGTAAGAAAACATTACTGCAGATCTTAAGGAGGATGCTGCAAGAATGGTAGGTGGGCGGATCTAGCCTAAGACAATGCTCAGTTGTGGGCTTTGATATTACTTGTGTTGAACCTTTTCATTCTATCACCAGAGAATTAGTTCAAATATCCCTCATAAACTCAAAAGTCACAAAATTTAATATCATTTACTAATGATATTACTGATATTATGTTCTTAGAGAATATTGGATAATAAATGTTTGTCCTCAATTCCAATAGGACTCATATAGTGTTATATTTTTAGAGTATATTGGATAATAGGACTGGACCCAGAACATATTATCCAAGATTCTCTAAGAATGTAAGATCAGTATGGTCTAACTTTTTGGATAGATATTGTGACAAAGACACAATGGGAAGTTAATATTAAAATGGATCTAGGAACTGTAGATTATAGGTTACAAGGTTGTGAAGAACAAAAAGCATTTTTTTTTCTTTTATTCTGTACTATTCTATAGTAATAATAGTAGCTAACCACTGGAATGAGCAAGCATCCTGCTGACATCAATGTACACCAGTATACCAGTGCACTGTTAAGTAATGCCCCTGCAATGGATTTGCAGACAAAGATTTTAATATATGATGTATGCATGAATATAATGAACAATTCATCCCTCCACATTAATTCTCAGAAATTGACTGTGTTTTAATATTGTTATGCCAGATACAACTTCCTGAATCTTGTTAAAAATTCTGATGTTTGCAGAGGAGATGCATTCTTCTTCCAACAACAGTGGCAGTGACAGTGATAATGATAGTGACAGTGAAAGAGTGGCAGAACTGGAGTCCAAAGTGAATGAGATGGAGGAGAAAGTGCAGCAGCTCCAGTCACAACTGGAAGAGGTGCGCAGTGAGAGGGACAAGTTGGAGCAGACGAGGGTGGAGATGGAGGCAGATCGAGAAGAGGAAATAAAGATTATAGAGAGGGTAATAACATGGTTATATTTCATGATGCAATAAACCCTATTTGAAAGCATATTTGTGTCACAGAATTTAGGTCTTTCAGAAAGTCACATTTGTGGGTCAATAAAGGCAGACTTTTTGACCACAGACTGGGCAATTTATAGTTGTATGATTGATTGGGTTAGTTACTGATTGGTTTAGACTCAACTGTCATGATAATAACAAGCTTCTGTGATGTGAACCAAAACTTAACAAGAGTGGAATGCTCTACTCCAGTGTGGAGTAGACATAATTTCCAAAAGTATTCTTTGCACAAAGTGCATGAAGTGAACATAGGTAGGGGAGATTATGTCATCATATTGCCCATATGTTAGTCCGCAACGTCATCTGCAAAACACCCTATAGGTTAATGAAATTTCATGTTGGAAGATTGTGCTAAAAGTTGTCATTACTTACTTACTCATGGAGCTGAGCCCTTCTGGAGGAGTCGCCAATTATGCAGCTACTCAAGAATTTCCCAGCATTTTATGGAACCCGAAGGTTCATTACTGTGTTCACAAGAGCCATCCGCTGGTCCCTATCATGAGCCAGATCAATCCGATCCATACCATCCCATCCTGTGTGTCTAAGATCCATTTTAAAATTGTCCACCCCCCTACGCCTTGGTCTTCCCAGTGGTCTCTTTCCTTCTGGCTTTCCCACCAATATCCTATACGCATTCCTCGACTCCCCCATCATGCTACATGCCCCGCCCACCTCATCCTTGACTTGATCATTCTAATTATACTGTAATTGGAGAAGAGTACAAGTTATGAAGCTCCTCATTGTGCAGCTTTCTCCAACCTCCTGTCACTTCATCCCTCTTCAGTCCAAATATTCTCCTCAACACCCTGTTCTCAAACACCCTCAGTCTATGTTCCTCCCTGAATGTCAGAGACCAAGTTTCACACCCATACAGAACCAAAGGCAAAATTATAGTTTTGTATATTCTAATTTTTATGTTTTTGGACAACAGACGAGAAGACAAATGGTTCTGGACTGAATGGTAGCAAGCATTACCTGAGTTCAATCTCCTCTTAATTTCCTCCTGAATCAGGTTTCGATCTGTTATCGTTGTTCCCAAATATCTGAACTATGCCACATTTTCAAAACATCTGTTTCCTATCTTTTTTGTCATGATTTTGCCCTGCATTTTGGTGATGAGATAGTGACATATTGTCATACAATATTTTATTTTGATTTGTACTGGTCTAGCACTTTATATGCAGCTCAATTCAACCTTTATTGATTTTTACAATACATGCTTATTTTACAGAAAATTTGAACATAATATGAAATACAGATCTCATTATTAAGATCTGCACCTTCTACTATTTAAATAATTTTTCAATGTAGCGAATATTTAATGAAATTAATTAAGTTTTACTTTTGTTACGCCATGTACAAGTGTAAGAGAGGTATGTTGAAATGCCAACATTGTTTTTACAACATTAGTGTAATTATGGTGTTTCAGGCATTGGAGGAAGCATTAGAAGAAAAAGCCCTCATCCTGGCACGCTTTGAGCAGGATTTTGAAAAGTTGCGTACAGTGAATACAGACAGGGAGCAGCAACTGCTGGATGACTTTGAGTGGAAACTACGGGAGGTAGAGCAAGCCTGCAAGCGACGATTAGAGGAGAAAGACAAGGCAGCAGAGGAACGTCTGAAGGAGGGTAAAAAGGAACTGGAGTTGAAGTTGAAACTGGCAGAACAACAACTGCAGGAGGTAACTAGCCTCTAAGTGATTACAGGATAATGTGTGTAATACTAACAGATATGCACACTTATACAATATTTACTCACTATGTGTTTGGGTCCAGGAAACATAATTCACAGGTGAATGTACTTAACTACAGATCCAGTATTTTGTCCTGATGATTATGATGATTATGTACTTTTTGGACCTATGAGTAGTTATTGCGCTTTATAATCCCTGTGGTTGTATAAGTTGGTTGTTCTTGTTATACTTCTTGAAGTTAATAAAAGAAACATAAAAAGACCAAGCATAGAAAAGCATCAGAAGAAGGGACAAAGATTCAAGAGGATCGCTTGTGGAAGGACATAGAAGAGCGGCTCTGTTGTAAGACCAACCTTGTGGGAAACTTTAGCAGATGGTAAGAATACTGGTAAAAGCACCAGTTGTAGAAGTCTTATTCGGTTAATAACTAAATAATTTGACAAAGGAGATGAATCAAACAGTTTACACACATTTCCTGCTACAAGTCATCTCTCCAACAAAATCCTACAGTTAGACCACAAGAGTTTGAATCAACCTATGCATATTTGCAGCAGCTGTCACTGCCTACAATCTGTATCTTTCATCCATAACCTGAGGGTGCACCATACTGTGGTGAAAGGGACCTTCTTAACATAGGACTATGTTTCACACACCCACAGAGAATGAAAAAATTAGTGGTCAGACTTGGTATTAGAAGTAAAATTGTTATGATTTATACCAATCAAATATTTTCTCAAACAATTTGTTTTAAAAAGTTGCCACAGTTGAAGACTTATGAGGCTGAGGTGATACAGCTGCGGGGTCTGACCATTGAGCAGCAGAGGTCACTACGAGTTACTACTCGGCAGACAGAGCAGCTACAGGTCAGTGAACGGTTGCTAAAGGAAGAGGTGACTCGACTTCGAGGACAGCTTGACAAGGAGAAGAGCCATGGAATATGCATGCAGGTGAGTTTGTTTGAAATATAATAATAACTGCAGTCTGTCATCTGATATTGTTTCTGAGTTCAAAATTTACTGGTACAACTTGAGCATTCTTCCCACAGATCTGTTAGCTCTAGATGAAAGCCTATAAATTGAATGTAATGTTTCACTGGAATCTGGATTTCCACATGAGAGTGAGATTCAGGTTATAACACTCAGCTAATCCTTTGCTGCACTAATTAAATTTATAAATTCCAAACCAGTCCCAGTAATATAAATGCACTTTAAATTAGGGAGGTACTTGTTAAAATTTGGTTCAGAATCTCGTAACTTTGTATGTCATCTAAAACCTATAAAATTTGTAGAATGATAATTTTTTGAGAAAGAGAGTAAAATTTGTTTTTTCTCCCTAGGGTAAGACACAGGATAAGGGTATGATTTTAGGTACTCAGAGTGGTGGTTGTGAAGACTTCTATTTTCTGGACAATAATGCCATGTAGTCTGTTGAAAGCCAACCAATGTTTTGGAGGAAGTCGCCTCCATCTTCAGGGTCAAAGAATAAGCCAAGCAAGAAACTGGAGTGATAGCATTGCTTGCCACCTGCTTTCACGCTGGGAGCCTCAATGTTTCACAACCCTATAGTTAGAGGGATAGCTTTACCTTTTTGTACTTGTTAATAATTATGCAGAATAGAAGTGCATCATGTTTCTTAATGAGATACCTAGTCCAGGGAATGGAAAGCATGAAGAAATTCAAGTCACATGACAACAGCAAATGGAAGAGACTCTAAATCTTGAGTTATTTCAAACAAAAATAGAAACACTCACTTGTTTCCTGTGCCAAAAGAATTCTAAAATTCTATTTTTTCCTGAAGAATAAACGTTAAAACATATGCTTATGTTGTCTGTTGTATGGAACTTTAAACATGTTGCTTAAACAAATTTGTGTATAATTCTAATTTGACTTTCTTTTATATACAGAGCTTACATGAGAAGAAGATGGCTGATAATGAAAAGAAATTTGAAATCCGTCTTGATCAACAGAAAAGTGAAATCACCGCTCAGGTAACTCATATTTGGGTAATGTTTAACAATGAAATAAGTTCCTATATTAATGTCCATGAAGATCATACACTTCTTATTAAAAATATGGAGCTTCAAATTGGGTTGTCACTTATACATGAATCAAGCAATTGTCATTAGTGAAATATTGTAGTTACAAGGCATACTTGTATATTTTTTTAAGTACACTTATTTCCAGAAATATTGCTGTTACAAGACATATACGAGTATTATTCTTAAGTACACATCTTTCCATATATTCATTAATTTGTATGATTACTGTGTGACAATGAACAAGACTGTGAAAATTGTAAAGCCCTTGTGTAAAGTATTTAATGGGAAATGAAAATAAGGATGTAAAATATCTACTCAAAACACAAATTTTTGTACTCAATAAAAGAGCAACTAATCTGAATAATGAAGCAAAAGTATAAGGTTTCTACATTGTGAGAGAATTATATTGTCATGTGTATGAGTGTGACTACAGACTAGGTTTGGATTGGTAATTGGATTTATTGAACACTTACCGATCATAACTACAAGCAATTATAATACTATCATTAATTCACACACTCTGCAAATTCATTACAACATGTACTGCCATCTCAGTCTGCTGTGTCTTCACCAGTCATTGCCTGGTGACAGATCCAAACAATGCACTCGGCTTCCATGCTCATGTTCTTACCAGCTGACAACTGTCTCACAACTAACTCATTGCTCCAACTGGTCTGCTTATAACATCTCGGTATGGGCTGCACAGAAAACATTTTTCCTCTGTTACTGATTTCAATTGTTGTCATGCAAACATATTCATTTGTGAAGCCATTACTCAGCAATGGCTGCTGTTTTTTGCTTAACTTGCGGTCGTTGCCCAGCAGTGGGTCAACATGCCACAATATGTTATGAATATAATAAATTAATTTAATGTTTGTCTGAGAAGCAGAGAGAGAACTACAATTTAAAAGAATTAGAACTCTATGGAATACAGCAAACTTCCTGTTATCTTGTACCCAAGCATCTGGAATTCTCACCCAACAATCAAAAGTTTCAAAGAAAATTCACAATTTTTACGGGGTTATTTAGAATCAGATTTGCAATTTGCATATATTTGCCCACCACACAGCAGTACTTCTACTTTAGCTGTACTGTTCATCACCTTCCCTCATGCAGGTCCCTTTGTACTTGTGTACTACTCTATTTGTGATTATGTTACAGTGTAAGGATCTGAAATCTTCCATCCATAAATCAGCTGTGCTGCCTAGGAAGACTCTCATGCAAGGTCTAAAGCAAAAACATGTTTTGACTTTATATTGGGTCTCTGTAAGAGTTTTTGCTCCTGCAGCCATTAGATTCTAATCGACACACTATATTTCCCATTAATCATGCATAATTTGAAGTTTGCTGTCATAAATTTCTAATTAAACAAGCATGAATTTGAAGACACACTTGTGTTGGAAGGTGTTAAGTTTTCTGGCCCATTATTTTACAGTGGGAAGACAGACTGAGACAGGAATGTTCTAGATTAAAGTCAGAACTGGATCAACTTCATAGTGAAGAGAAACATCTGGCTGTGGAGTCTGTCAAAGTTCAAAAGGAGCAAGAGATGCGCACAGCTAAACAGAATTGGGAACGAAGACTGCAAGAATGCCTTAAGGAGGTAGGTTTAGATTTTGTACCATTTTAACCTTCAAAAATTTCAGACTCATATCAGACAACTGCATTAGTTTGATACAAAATAACACATATTAACAATTATGACCTTCCATCACTGTGTTCAGGGACATGTGGTAGCATACTTGGTTGAGGCATTATGCTACAAGCTGGAAGGTCATGGGTTCAATTACTGATGAGGTCACTGGATTCTTCAACTGGCCTAATCCTTCCAGCCACACTATGGTCCTGGGGTCCACTCAGCCTCTAACAGAAATGAGTACCAGGAATCTTCATGGAGTTAAAGTGTGAATGGCATGTAAGGCTGACAACCTTACTACCATCTGTGAGCCGATCATCTGGAAAATGTGGGAGCCCTGATGTTTCACAACCCTATGGGTCTGTTACAGGGATAGCTTTACCTTTTTTTGCACTGTCACTGTGTTCTGTTCGGAAGTGTGGTCGTGTGATTAACTAATTTAATTCTGTGGCAGTCTGATCCAAGGGTTTAGCATCATGCACATTAGAATCTGTCAGAGGACTCAATCCTGAGCTAACTCATTTCAGTCTAGATTAACAAACCTAGCCCTTAAGGCACAAATTTTTGTTTTCTGAGTAGTTGTTTCACCAGCTAGAGTCTTATTGCCACATCCAGATCACCTCTGGAGCCTGCCCATTCTCCTATCCATCAGGTATAGAGACTATTGAAATGTAGTGGCCAGAATTTGTAACTAACCTTTCATCCATACCCATTATCATGGTCCAGAATGCAAGGATATGCCTTCACACTCCCAATACAACATTATGGTGAGGCGTTCAGGCACAAGGTAATCTATCTTTACCTTCAAAGAAAATGTTTATGCCAGAAGCCATTCATTACTTTTTGTTTTCAGCTTCTTCCCAAAATTTCTTTAGTATCCCTAAAAGGTAATAACTTATAGATTCATAGTTAAAATATAAAAATTGTGACATAGCACTTTGAAATTACTGTTTATGTACATATCATGAAGTGAAAGAGAGACTGAGACAGCCATATCTCACACCCAGTTATCTGCAGGAGCTGATGCACAATAATGGGGCAGTTTTGTTTATGCTTTTGTCCTACTGGTTTATTGAATGAATATATGCACTTGTGTTCCCTTGGCAGAACTCTGCTTCTTTGACAAAAACTGATGGTCTGATCTTCAGTCCATGGCAAATCCAAAAATTCATCATTTTTAAGGGAGTTCACATGCAAGATAATTCTTAAACATCAGACTAACAACTGTGGACATATTGTTGGAAGCAACATGTAGATCAACTATGCATGCATTAACATGGCGGAAAAGGTGGTGGTAAATTTAAGTTACTTGAGTTCACTTCTTAATACTTAAGTACACAAATACAGTGATCACTTTATAATACATTAGAGCATGTAATACACGAGTGTGGATTGTTGAAGTGTTCGTATAATTTGAACCAACTTAAGTGTTGTTTGTTCACCAAGGTCACTGTCGACAATATGGAAGTACAATGTATAACATATAAATCATATTTCAGTTTTCTCAACTGACATAAGATTGAAATTTTTGGACTTGTACAACATGCTACAAAGTCAGATAGGGAGTATGGATGTAAAGCTCCTTGTATTGCTAACCTCAACAGACTGTAGCAATATAAAACATGTCTGATTTACACTACTCTTCCCCAGACTCAGTATATAAAAATAAATGAAAGGCTTGAAATTGAATCCAAAGATCAACACCATATTATAGGATAAGTCTGCAGTATGAGCAGGGTCAGCACAACACCACAGGCAAAACATGACAGCTTCCATCACAGTATTATTGATTGTGACAAAGCACTGAAAATAGTGGTCTGTTTTATTTGAGCTGTGGTTGTGGATTACTTTAGGCTTGTGCATCTGAGTATGAGATAAGGTTATATTGTACCTTTACTAATAACATAAAAGTATTAGGAGATACCGAATGAAATGTATATTTGACTTACAGTAGAATCCAAAATTTTAATATTAATTCTGCATACTGTGGATATTGTGACCTCTCTTGTGCCCTATTATTCCCATGATTCTTCTCTTATAGATATCTACACTGAAGGATCGCTTAACAGAGAAAGATACATACTATCATGGAGAACTAGAGAAGGCACAAACAAATGCAGATCGAGACATCTTTGATCTTCGCCGGAAACTTGATAAGCTTGATTTGTCATACCAAGATCAACTGGAGAAACTAACAGAAAAATATGAAAAAGAAATAGGTGAGAAACATAAAGAAGGCTGTGGCTGTGGCAGTATTGTATTTTGGTCTACTGTAGCACAGAAGTTTATAAAAATATGCTACAGTCTCCCCTCAGCAGTTAGTAGTTATATGACTGATCAAAAATGCCCTATTGTGATGAAATCTGAAATTAATTACCTTCACCACAAAGGCCTAATGCTGGACTCTATCCTGACTCATTTCAATTCACTTCATGTCTTAACAAACCTATCTGTCGAAGTTCCATTTATACTTACATTTTCCAAGTGATCCATTTCCTTGAGATTTTCTAATTGAAATTTGATATGCATTTGTTGCTTTACATGTGGATACTGGACCACCAGACATCTTGGTTTTATAAGACATAAACTGGATTCGATCATTGTCCCCATATTCAACAGACCCAAGGTTCAGTTCTGTGCTTGGAAGTTTGATGTCATGACTTAGATTTATTGGTTTTCCTCAGTTTATTTAGGTAAATTCTGGGTTACTTTCATAAAAATATGATCCATTCACTTTATTCCATACCCTTTCTTACTCATGAGCCAGGAATTAGTTGAGTAACCATAATTAAATAAATTAAGAAGCAAGCACACATGTTATAAGAAAATGTAGTTCCTAGTTTGCCATTATTGAAAAGATTTTCCTAAAACATTGTGTCACCTATAATGCAGTTTTATGATGTGTGTTAATAGTAGTACTTCAATGTACATGAATCAGAGAAAAGATGTTAAAAGTTTTCCAGTTTACAGTTTAAACAGATTTGACCTATTCAAATGTGCCTCCAGATTTTTACTTCTCTGCATATGTGTGTGTGCGTGTGCACACACACACACACACGTGCATGCATAGAAAGCGATATGTTGAGAATGTTTTCAGATCACGTTCATTGAAAAATCAGTAGACAATATTGGAACAGACTTCAAATGAACAAAATGTGAAGATGCAGAATGGGCTCAACTGGTTCAGTGTAAACTTCAGTTTTTTGTTCTTACATGCTTCATTTAAAATACTTTTTTATTTCATTTATTGTGTAATGTCAAATGGATGGTTGGCAGTGAATGATGACTTAGGATGTGGTCATGGTCTATTTAATGTACTTCCCTAGGACTTGCCTGTAGAGACTAAGGAAAACAACAGAAACCATTTGCTGTCACCAGATTGAGAATCGAACCTAGGGCTACCTGAATATGAAGCAAATGTATAAACCACTCAAGTGCAACATTCAATGATAAGGTCTAAATTTGGACTTCTTTCTTTATGGGTTAGTTTACAATGCTGCCAGTATCTGGACTATGTAGCATCAAATAGTAGTGTGACTGATGAATTGTAAAGGATATGGAGGAAGCGGCTGTGGCCTAATCAAAGTACAATCAAAGTATTTGCCTGGATAGAGTGAGAAAAACTACAAAACTCTACATTCAGGATAGTTGGTGTTCCAGTCAAGATTCAAACTGAGTGCTATTGCTAGACCAACCTGCTCACTAGTGCGCTCTTGTGAATACCGTTATAAAGTTTCAGATTTAGTAAAAAGAATATATAAATATGGGTTTCAAGTTTTGGGTACCATAAAAGCAGTGAATTTCTTGTCGAGGTTGGTAGTTATTAAGTTTCCAGCAAAGCCTTGTACTGTGGAGTTTGTTAAGAAATTAGACAAAAAAGAAAGACAGGCCTCTGCCAGAAAATTGACCTATATGTCACTCAATATATCTGCAGAACAACTAAACTGGGAGTCTGAGAGGAAAATCCAGCAGTTAGAGCAGAACTGGCAGTTGCAGATGAGTTCCACAAGAGCAACATTGGAACTGGTGAAGGAGCAGATGGAGCGAGATGCTCAGGATCACTTGGATGCTGCAGAGGAGAAGCATCGTAAACAGCTAGGTGCACACAAGTACAGTTCATTAGAGTGCAACCTACCCCTCAGCCTGCTGCATTGGGAGACATCTGCAGCAGGTGTTATATGTGTGGATTAGGATAGAGTGTTAACTGTGATAACAAAGAATCCAGCATTTAGCAATACAAGACTGAGACCTAACACTACTTCATAAACCAGCAGTTCAACAATAGTACAGGGAGGTTCTTACATTTGTTGATCAGTTTATAGCTCTGCATTTCATGGCAACTGATGCACCACTGGCTGTGAGAACCATACAAATTTTGCCAATGAATCAATATTCCTGTTAGCTGATAACATTTGGAATGAAGTAGTTACAATTTACAGATCACAGGCGGTTTTGAAAAGGCTATCCCTCTACATATAGACATTCCTCACACTAGTGGAAGATGTTCTGATCTATGCTTTGAAGCTGTTCTGCAGGAATATTTGCAATTTCCCTATGAATATTTTCTTTTAGTTCTTCTTCAGTTCCTAGTTACTGTTGTAAACTTTGTCCTCCAAACAACCCCAGAAGACAAAATCACAAGGATTAAGATCGGGTGAACATGCTGGTCAAATATCACTGCTGATAATTCTCTTCCCAAAAACATCAGGCAAAGCCTGCATAGACATGCGTGCAGTGTGGACATCAGCTGAATCTTGCTGAAACCAACAATATAATCTTTCTTCTTCTGTTAACTCTGGAAAGAACTGCCTGAGAATGACCTGCATATATCTTCTGCAATTAATTGTTTTGTAAAAACACAGGTCAATTACAGGTTAATTACATGTTGAATAGGATAGGATATTGGATATATTGACCCCTTGTATACACCATTCGGAACTACACTTCATAGATCACTGACACATACAGACTAGTATCCTCAGTCTATTAGCCATCTTCATTAGCCATTCCCTGGCAATGGATTTAACACAGGAACTATAACAGTCTCACTGGATTATTGAATTACATACTCCAAATATCACACATGAAGTCTTCTTTTAATAACCACACTCTTATAACTAACTCTTTTCTTCACAGCTGAACTTTCAACTCTTAACTAACTGGATTGCCCAATTGTCTTCCTTATAACCACTTTGCATGGACCAAAAAAGCCATTTCCAACAATACTCTATTGTTCTAGGTGTGTTTCCTGATCCATTTCCTAGAAACGAGTTGCATAACCCTATTCGTTTATTGTTGTGTGTGTATATTGTGGGCATTACCTAGCAACGGCTGCTGTTTACAGAGTCACTCCTTAGCAATGGCTCTATGTGCCACAATACATAATTAACTTCAAGCTGCACTGTGATATAAGTGTAAACTTTGTACAAAATAATATTTATAGACTTTAGTGAACTTAAGAATGATAAGTGTGTGGCCTTTTGTGTTACCTAACTACATAACTCCCGAAGTTTTATCATGTTTTTATGCATGCCTAACATGCCCTAGAAGTACAGTGTCTGTGGATCAATGTGATATGCCTCAATTTCCAAATTCTTTTTGACATACTTTCCTTTTTTTTTTTTTAAATGGAAGTACATTTACAAAATCATTATGCTTTCTGTGGGTCTGAATCCCCCCACATTAACTTTTGAATGCCTCAACCAATCTTTATGAAACGTATGTATATCATGGCACCTGACTCCATCTCGATGGCATACTTATACATCCATCCCATCAGTCTGTGTGTCTGTATATACGTCCTTCCTATCATTGCTAGGCAAAGGCTTGTTTCATTTCTAGGCAATGGTTTGGTAAATATGTTACTGCAGCAACATATACACGTGTGGGATTGTCGATGTTCTAAAAGACAACCACGTAAATCTGTAACAATCGTATATATTAAATTGTATAAATTGAATGTACAAAATAGCTGCGAAGCTATGTGGAATGTTAAAAGTTGGATGGCCCTGAAAAGGGCAGTTTGTTCCACCGTGAGTGCACTGGTAGAATTTGCTCCTTTGTAGTAGACCAAGTCTTTATGGCCGTTCAGCTGGTTGTCCAGCCAGTAATGTGGTGCTGCATGCGCCCGTAGGCAGCTGTTCCTACAGGCGCATGCAGCACCAGCTGCCTACAGCACCATTGCTGGAGAGTTGCAGCCAGTCTAACAANCATGCAGCACCAGCTGCCTACAGCACCATTGCTGGAGAGTTGCAGCAACTACGTTAGTTGCCTGGTCGCAGACCGAGGTTGCTGGAGAGTTGCAGCAATTACATTAGCTGCCTGGTCACAGAGCAAGGTTGCTGGAGAGTTGCGGCAGCTACGTTAGCTGTCTGGTAGCAGAGTGCGGTTGCTGGAGAGTTGCAGCAGCTGTCTTTGGCGCAGTTAAGAGCTGATGACTCTGAGGACTGAATGTGATCACTCATGATTGCGAGCTTTGGGCTCCGCTTTTATACCATGCTTGCTGGGCGGAGCTAAAACGTGCAGTTGTGATTGTGAGCACTAATTGGCTAGCGAACGTGATGATCTACAGGTGGCTGGACATCAAGTGCTGTATAAATATGAGCTGTAGCAGCATCGTGTGGCAGTGAGATATTGACTAGGAATTAGTGCTGTCTGTTAGACCGGCGAAACCGCGTGGGATGTTCCCACATGAAATAATAGATAAATTGTTGGATGCACGTGTCTGGGGGTCTGTCTCTATATGCCCTATCACTGCTAGGTAACAACTTGGTTAAGACTTTCCCATGGCAATGAAGAATTATTTGAGGTGTTATTTTCTATGTGATCTGTGTTGTATCAGAAGAAAGTAGGAAGTTAGTTTTTCCCAGAATTTCTTGTTTGAATTCAAAACTTGCTAATCAAATGAGAAGATTGTATAGTGATGATATAAACCTATTCATGTTCCAAGTCGTGGCCCATAGTGCCAGCCCTATTCTATTTAATGTCTCTGCAAATTCCAAACATGAATGGAAGGTTGTAGTCCACTGAGTACACATATTTTCCAAATACATTCTTTTCATTATATACCTCACTGGCCTCAATGTTCTCTTGTTGTAGATACAAATCAATAGGTCCAAATCTAAACTTACTATAGATATCATATTGCAAACTCAGAAATTATTTTTTCTTATAACTTGTAGAAGAATATTTCATATGTGGGAACATCCCACATACTAACATGCGGTTTCGCCGGTCTAACAAACAGCACTCACCCCTAGTCAATATCACATTGCCGCACGTTGCTGCCACAACTCATATTTATACCGCACTCNTGCTGGAGAGTTGCGGCAGCTACGTTAGCTGTCTGGTAGCAGAGTGCGGTTGCTGGAGAGTTGCAGCAGCTGTCTTTGGCGCAGTTAAGAGCTGATGACTCTGAGGACTGAATGTGATCACTCNCATGGTATAAAAGCAGAGCCCAAAGCTCGCAATCATCAGTGATCACATTCAGTCATGAGAGTCATCAGTTTTTAACTGCGCCAAAGACAGCTGCCATAACTCTCCAGCAACTGTGCTCTGCTACCAGACAGCTAACGTAGCTGCCGCAACTCTCCAGCAACCACGCTCTGCTACCAAACACCTAACGTAGCTGCCGCAGCTCTCCAGCAACCGAGCCGAGGCAAGAGCTCAGTCATGATTGCACTGTAGGCAGCTGTCCCTACTGGCGCACGCAGCACCAAATCAGCAGCTGAACGGCCATAAAGAGTAAAGACTTGGTCTACTACAAATGAGCAAATTCTGCCAGTGCAGTCACGGTGGAACAAACTGCCCTTTTCAGGGCCAGCCCACTTTTGAACATCAACATTCCACTTAGCTTCGTAGCTATTCTGTACATTCAATTTATACAATTTAATATATGTAATTGTTACAGTTTTACCTGGTTGTCTTTTAGAACATCTACAATCCCACACATCTAAGGTTGAACGTCTTAAAGAAATATGCTTGTATAATATAAGGTACATGCTAATTTTTAGCATTATATGAAATTATTGAGGAAATTGATAAAGTTTAATTTGGTTTTCATACAAAATTTGGTTAAAATGAAATCCCCTGAGGAATTTCAGAGACTAATAGTGTGGATGGACAGGCAGGTCTCCCTACATTTATTTATGATCTTTATTTGAAAGACACAAAACATGTAACTGTACCTTCTTAAAAAGATGCTGAAATAAGGAATGTGGCTTGTAAGATAACTGTCTATAAGAAAGTGATCCAGAAACCATTGCAGGATATTGTCACGTGATGGAGTGACTATAGACAGGTTTGGAGTGGTAACCAGATTTACTGGAAATTTTAACACACAACTGCACTTTACAAATCACTATCACACACAGACTGGTCTCCTCAGTTACTGTCTTCACTGTGCTGCTTGGTAATACATTGGACGTTCCTCTGCATCTGGACTCACATCCTCACCAGTTGGTAGCCATCTCACACTAACTTCCTAATCTTCTAACTGCCATCTCAAGACTCTCTCTCTCTCTCTCGTTATATAGCCTCAGCACAGACTGCACAGAAAACACCTCTTCCAACAGCTCTTCTGTTGTTGTGTGCGTGTATATTGTTGCTATCATGTGACAGCTACTGAACCACTGCCTAGCAATGGGCATGTTGACAGAGCCATTCTCTAGCAACGACTGCCTCTGCTGGTTTCACAATTCTGGCTTTCAGCAAAAATGCCACAATACAATAAATGTTATGCGGGGTGGTAATTTTACCTTGATGATCTGGAATGTGACCCTGAAAGATATGTATGTTGCGCAGATATCCAGTGGGAGAGACTAATGAACGAGAAGGAGAAGGCTGTAGCAGATCTCGAGGAGAAACACCAGACCCAGGTGGAACTAATCAAGGCAGAGCTTGAGAAGACAACCAAGAATAGCATCTCCAGGGAAAATGAGGTGATGAACCCTGCAGCATGAAGTCTACCATGAATATTTCATACTTACTCAGCTGAGTAAGAAAATAACTGTTTTATGGATCTGGAAAATTTATCATCATGTTTCAAAAATGCAATTGAACTCTGTCACATAAAAATTCATATCCCTGTAACATACTTCTACAATAATCATTTCATTAATATCCTGCTACCTAAATTTAGACCTCCCAGGTTAGATCTTCTCTTGAGGTTTTAAAATAAAAATTTTATATAAAACTCTTGTTTTCTTCATTCATGGGCCACGCCATAGCTCAAGCAGTTAGTCGCTGGCTTCCCACCGTGACGGCCCAGGTTCGATCCTGGGTCTGGTCAAGTGGGATTTGTGGTGGACAAAGTGGCACTGGGGCGGGTTTTCTCCGAGTACTTCGGTTTCCCCTGCCAATCTTCATTCCACCAAATTCTCCATCATCATAATCTCTGAGGCAGGCACAATAGGCCAATCACTGGCCGCTGTGCCGAGTGGACCCAGCTGGACTCCACCCCCTCCACTAAGTGAATTAATCAATTGGAGCTGAACATCCATTCATAGGACCTGAACCAGCCTGTGGCATCTCTATAGGAGTTGCCAGAAAGGCAATCAGGGACGACAAATATGAATCACAAGAAATACTGAGGATTCTTGACTGGACTCAGGCAAGCAAAGGGCCTCATATGAGGACCCTCTACTAAAAGAGCGAAGGAACTGTTGAAGTTAAACAGGAACCAGCTACGATGGGTGGTAGGACTACTTACAGGACACTGTCACTTTAAAGGACACCTCTTCAAACTGGGACTAAGTAAGAGTCCAACTTGTGAGAGGTGTCAAGAAGAAACTGAAACAGCCACACATATCCTCTGCGAATGTGAGGCCTTAGCTTATTTAAGATTATGTCACTTGGGTCAGTATTTTATGGAACCAAGTGACTATTTCGATTTTCCCACATCCAAAATCCTGCACTTTGAATGAAGCACAGGATTGCTGAGGGGATAATCAGAAGGGGAGGCACAATAGATCGCTGTGGTTGCGGTGCAAGGGCCAAGAAGGCTCACCCCTTATACATTCATTCATTCAAGCGAATTAATTAATTTCTTCATACATACCACATGTCCCACTACTTTAAGCCTTCTTGATTTAATCGCCTAAAAATTTTATGTAGAAGTACAAATTATGAAGCTACTCAATATGTAATTTTGTTCATACTGTTACTTCCTCCTCAGATTAAAATATTACCCTTAGCAAATTTTTATTAGATGCGCTGAATTTATATTATTACCTCATAGTGAGAAACCAAATTGTATGTACACACAGAACAAAATTATAATTTTGTGTATTTTGATCTTTAGGAATATAGATAAAAGATTTTGAATTGAATGATAGGAAGCACCTTTCAGATTTAACATGTCATGCCTTACTTTCATAATGAATATTATTGTCATTCAGAAGTAGCCCTACTTGAACTATGTAACATTTGAATATTACTCTTCAGAGTTATGATGCTGTATAGTTTGGTAGGACAGTAATCCTTTGTTTAACACAAGGGTTACATTCTTCAATTATGCTGTGGATATCAAAACCATGGCATACTTGGGATTGATCTTATGGGGAATAAGGTATAAGGTGACTTGGCCTCTGAAACATACTATTATAATAAACGGCTTTTATTTTACCCATTGTACGTATATGGTAAAATCATAAATTAAGTAACATGGTAATAACAACGAAAGTACATACTATAAGGTAAAAAGGTAAAGAAATAACTGTCACTGTAACAGGCTGTGGAGGCCCATAGGGTTGTGAGACATTGAGGCTCCCAAATTTTCTAGACAATCGGCTCATAGATGGTGGTGAGGTCATCAGCCGTATGCGCCCGCTGCCCTTTACCCCCAGGAAGATTCCTGGTACTCATTTATATTAGAGGCTGAGTCAAATGCATGGCCATACTGCGGCTGGAAGTATTAGGTCAAACTTTAAAATCTAATGACCTCATCAGGAACTGAACCCTTGACCTTCCAGCTTGTGGCACAGTGCCTCAACCAACTATGCTACTGCAACACAAGAAAATTCTCTCAACACTAGCTATAACTGATGCTTGATTCCATTTAATAGTGTTGAGAGAAGATTCGTTGATATGAAAATGCCTTGCAACAGATACTACACTTTCATCATATGCTACTTTATCAAGTACATCAATTTTCTCTTCTAGAATCATTATTTTCCTAAATCCCCTTGTAGTGGCATCATTACATTTATGTGTTGGGGCCAAATTTCAGGGCAAATATGTAGTACTTAAATAAAGAAAAATTAAGTTATTCTGAGCTCATGAGGGGCATTATTAATCTATCTGAGCATCAGAAACCCCCGTGCACCATACACCAAAATATATTTAAGTAGAAAAGTGAGCTAAAGGTAAGCTACTGGGTTCATACCCCATAGATAGAGTATTCACTCTCTTCTCTAGTGCCCAACAACCCAACCAAAACCCTCCTATCAATAACTCTGACTGGGGGTATTTTAATTTCCATTTCATCTAATTCCTGGCTTGGTGCCTGGATAGGATTGGAAATTAATTTTATATCGTTTATCCCTCTCATATCCGCACAAGAAAATATCTTTACTACCGAGGCCTCCCTAAAATACTTCATTATTCAGGCTGACGTACTGTAAGCTTTCTTTGGCCGAAATTTTGTATGTTCTCTAACAGTTTCCCAGGGCCTATTGATGTAATATCATCACCAAATTTTTCCAAAGGCACAAACAGGATTTTTAACTGTTCTTGTATACTGATTTTGTCCCACATTCTAATGAAAAGATTTGGTTATCACTTATATTATTTTGAGACCAATATCCCTATTAGCTTACAATAATGTTTCTATATCAAACACAAAATAAAACAAGAATTTTCAGAAAGAACTAATCATCTGCTTTTCTTTGATACAACATGGACCACATAAAAAATTAAAAAAATTGGGGGGGGTGACACAGGCAGACAGAAAGGTGATCTCATAAGCCTGAATAATATGAAGTCCATTGCCTAGCAATGGCAGTAATGTGTTTACCACTGTTGCCTAGCAATGTCTGTATCCTCTATCTTACGGGTGTTACAGTTAGCGTTCTCTCTTCAGTCCACTGCTCTGCTTATGCTCTTTTGCATATTACACTAAATGTTCTCTCTTTGGTCTACCTTCATGCATTAGGTAAATGTTCAACATTCAGGAGGGAGAGAGGGAGGAGGAAGTGGTCCACTCCCCTGCTCACCCAAGCATCTACACTGAAAGGCTGAACCCTCCTCTTGTCGAAGATAAGACCCCCATTTCTAAAACACATAAATGTCTATGAGGGAACAAAAATTTTTTGAGTGTTACACTTAGTGTTCTCTCCTCTGCCTGATCCAATGTATGTATTATGTAGAGATTCGACACAGACAATCTTCATCTGAGAGAGAGGAGGAGGAGGAGGAGGTCAGTACTCTTCTCATTCAGAGCACCAATACTTAAAGGCCAATACCTCCTCTTGTCAAAGAGGAGACCACAGTACCTATCAGTGAGGGGGAGGGGGGGGGCATTCAGAGAGACACATATGCAGCTATGCTGAAATGCAGACACACAGATAGGAGGGAGATTGCATAGGCCTACTTTGGGAAATAGGCTAATAAAAATTAAAATGCATATTAGAGAAATAACTACTTTTTCAATGAATAAGTCAACATCATGACTTGGCATTCCCCTAAAAGTTACAGAAACTGAGTCAGAAGGATAAGAATATTGTTTGTTTTGACAGCAGCTGCTGGAGGTGATCGCGAACCTCAAGAAACAATTGCAGGGTCAGACAGCAGTGATCAGCGATCTTCAGGGGAATGTGGACCTTCTCCAGGGAGGAATGCAGGTCCTCAACCAGGAGATAAGCACCCAGAATGTGGAGCTGCAGCGTATCCAAACCCAGACAACCCACAAACTGAGGTAAGTCCACTGCCCAACAACAATAATTGATTCATTGTATTATCTGCTCTTGTGACACAGAGTGAAAGCTTTTATGTGCATATGAACATTCTCTTTGTGTGTGCTTCGGGCCCTTTCATTCTTTGTTATATACTTCTACATAATTTTCCAAAACTTTACAGTTTCACCAAAGTTTATGTAATAATGAGTAGCTTCAAAAATGTGTGACAAATTCATTTTATTAACGATATTTATGTATGGTTTAACTAAAATGTTAGTAGCTCAGACTATACAGACTAAACTTTGACAATTTAGACACAATATAATGAAATTTGTTGCTGACATGCATCCTATTTTATAATTTTCCTGAATCCTCATGGTCCATTATGAGGACAGACCCCTTTAGCCTGAAAACAGAGATAATCGGAAGAACCAACATCATATGAAACATCAAACAACTTTTTATGCATTCTTTGCAGAAGTGAGTGAAGTGACTGTGTAAAGGAGAGGGCATGTCCATTTGCCTACCAATGTGTTTCATCTCAGAAACTAGCAGAATGTTGAATACATATGTCCAATGGCAAGGGATGTCACATGCTGTCTCTTTTTCGTTGAGACTGCACCAGTGAGCACCATTCAGTAACAGGATTAGCATCTCCATATGTTTGAATTATATGAACTTGTTACATGATCGTAGTGCAGTGCTGCCAGTCAGTTGCTATGTGGGGCACATATAAATATTGTGTGCTCAGACAAGCTATCACTGATTCCAATCAACAATGATGTAAGACAAGGGGACAGTGAGATCCTAAATGGGCAGGAGCAAACGTGATGTTTCTAGCCCAAGTAATTTGTGTATTACAACTGTTTTAGTTTTATCTTGCTGAAACCTTTTTTAACTCATCAAAGTATATGTTTATAACATGGGTTAAAGACAATCTTATATATTTTTAAAACATAGTTTCTCAGAAGTAGTGACTGATTAGTCAGAAATCTGTAACATTTCATTTGTATTGTATCATGTGTACTGAAGTACAGAAACACTGCAAGAAATCTAATACCAAATTATGGCTCATTCCAGCACTAGGGTTTGCTGTTGGAAGGGCAGTTCAAACAGTGATTCAGTCTATATGCACAAAACTTTTTCCTGCCCTCTGTGTAACCTTAGTACTCACAATGATTTTTGCTGTTTTTAAAAAGTGGGTCAATTCATATTTGGTGACATTCGTGAAAGAGGGTGTGCCTTACAGTGAGCTGAATGGAAGTAGTGGTGATACTGGTGGTGGCTGTATTGTCATTCATAGGCTCATAAAGTAATATTAAGTCCATATAATTTCTTTATATATATATATATATATATGTCTGAAGAAGAATGAAACATACTGAATTTTTCAGAGTGCCAGTATCTAACAGCCAAAGCCTGTGGAGTGAAAGTAAATAAGCCAAAATGCAAAATTTGTGAGTTGGATTGCACTGAAGGAAACATGGTCACAAAACAATGAGGCTACTATTTTACCACATCCATTAAAATCTGTTTAAACTCATATGGGTGTAAGTGAAATCATGTATAGGTTAGAAGAACACCACCTTCAAAATTGACAGAGTTGAGAGCCCAACTTACAAGACAGCAGACAAGATAGACTTCAGCTTATGTGGATTGTGTGAAATGCTCAAGAAATTTTCTGTGGAAGACTGCCACAGATGACAAATTTGAACCAATCACTGTAAACTTCAGGGATTCTGACTCAGAAACTGTTGACTCTAGCAGTGAAAATGAAGATGATACAGAGTGATTGTTTGGATATTTATATTGTGTTTAAAATGTTTACAATAATTTTTAGCATTTATCAGCTGCATGATACACTTTCTGTCTTGACTGACATATGCATTCATTTCAAGAGGAACAAGTCTGTTGATACTGCAGCAGGTGTCTTTGTCTGCACCAGGATGTCAACTGGCCCACCACTGCACATGGTTTCCAATATAATGAATAGATTTTGATGAAATTTTGTGTTGATAATCTACAATTACTTTATACAAAATTATTCAGACTTGATTAATCTCCTTAGAAATGGCTCATGATGCTAAAATGTATGCAAGATGAAAAATATAGGTCTGTTTAATATTTAAATTTCATTTGAAACATTCAACTTGGAAGATATCTAGTTCATATCTTGACCAGGCTAGTGGCTCTCCTTACCAAGGTCTTCTGCGGTTTTTCTTGTACTACAGGAAAATTTTAGGTTAATGCTTTCAATTAGGCTGTAATCATCTCATTCAATCCTCATCTACTCACTACCCATGATTATCCTTTTGTTTCCTTTAGTAACATAATTCTACTGCTGAAAATGCATCATTAAATTACCTACCTAAGAGTCAATCAACCAGTATAGGAAGTACAATGAAACAGCAACCTGACTCAGATTTATATGACAAACACCATGCATGTTGGCTCAGCACAAATATGCCTGACTTGTATTCAGGTGATAGCTGGTCACAGTCTTAGTCAGAGCCATTCTGACTGAGTCTTTTTAATCATTCCAGGCAAATGCCAAGGTGGTGGATAGAAGTAGTCTGTGTCTGTTTCTTCTCCCATTCAATTATATAATCATCTCATCTCTTTCAATGCTAAATAGCCCAAAATGCCAGATGTCTACCTCACTGCATGTAATGTTCAAGTTATCATCTTTAACTCTGATGATAATCTACAAAGATGATCAGATGCTTTCCACCATGCATAGCAACTTTAAATGCCCCCACCCTCCCCCAACTGTATAGAAAAGAATATGAATTTTTTAGGCAAAAATTAAAAAAAGAAATATCCTGATAGATAATATATTGCTGCAAGGAATAAAGAGGTTTATATACCTAGGGTGTAATATTCTTATCAAATGAAAAAGAAAAGTATAGGTTCAAAAATCACAAGAGTTCTATAAATATTTAAATAACATATTGAAACTATATTTGGTTCATAGATGTTCAAGATGGAAAACTATATAACATTTTGGTATTTCTGTCCTCTTGTATGGCAATGATTTTTGGAGAATGAGACAGTAAGGCAAAGATCAACTATGAATTGCAGTAATTAAAGTTCTATGATGGAAAGGCAAGATTCATTTTTCCTAACCACAAAATAAACAAGAAGTTCTACAAGACTTGAAAATAGAATTCACAGAAGAAATATTTCACATGTATGAAAATAACTGTCCAAAACAAGCTATGCACTACCATCCAACAGGAGGATGGCTTTGACACACATTTACAACTAGGAACTACAACATTTAGAGTGAAAATAGGTCACTTTTACGACCCTGGATGCCTATTCAATAAATTATTCAGCTTTAGGCTGGAATACTGGGTTCAACTTTCCACAGGGACAGAGATTTTCTCTTCTCTACTATGGTCAGAATAGCTCTGAAACCCACTTAGCCTCCAATCCAATGGGTGCCAGGTATTGTTTCTCCTGGGATAAAACAACCAGAATGTGAATGTAACTGCTTACTTAACTGTGCTTAACTTTGCAAGAGTATATGATCACAGTTTGGGTGGTTCCTTATAAAGGTGTACTTATTACATGCAAGGTTCCACCAATGATATTAATTTCAGTTAACTCTACACCAAAACTGCATGATAAATACTTTGATCATTGCATGTCATGAAAATTGTCTGAAGTCATTTTGTTTTGAAAAGCGCAAATGAAAATATCTTTATGATTTGTTTGTTGATTTTCATGTCAGAAAACTGCCATGATCAGAAAAAAACATAAAAACTAGTTTAGGACAAATTTGATTTGTTTCATTCTGGTCTATCACACTAACAATTATAAATACAAACCACTCCATCCAATGTGACATATAAGATTTTACTACGTGAAATCTTATATGTCACATTGGATGGAGTGGTTTGTATTTATATTTATAGTTTAGGACAGTTCCTATTAATAGAATCAGAGGCTTGTTTCATTTGTCTCTCTCTGTGTGCACATAAAATTTCACTGACAAACTACCAGAAAATTACTGTTTTAAGCTCTGTGAAGTCCTGACTAAGAAAAAGAATGTTCCTACTGTTGCAATTTTATTATTGAACATAAAACATATTTAAAAAGGTTGATATATTGCATAACATAAAAAATATACATGTTTCATATACACATCCCTGAATGGACTCTCATATTTAATTATCATTACTCCAAAAAAGACAAATCTACAATAACTGTCTGAAGAACATTTTAATATATAATATATATTCACTGAATAACCGAATATTTAAAGTGTATTTACACTTTCAAATTCTACATTGTTAATTACACAACAAAAAGTTTAATTGCTGGGTTATATGGATTGTAAAAGTTAGTCTCTCATTTTGAAGGGAGAACCTTTAGTGAGTCTGTTTAAGTGCATATGGGTTAGAATATTCAAGCCTGTGAGAGAGAAAGTAACAGGAGAATGGAAGATATCACATAACAGGAACTTTGTACATAAGATTTGAGATTTTCTTTCGGTGAATATTCATACTGTGCTCTTCTGAGTTATGACATCATGTGGTCTGGTAGGTGGATACACACCTACTGCGCTGGATGGTGTCATAATGAAGCAGACCATAACAGGAGCTTCAAAATTTGTACTCTCCGCCTGTATTATTAAGGTGTGTATATTAGGCTGTACCATAGCTCAAGCGGTTAGTCACTGGCGTCCCACCGCGGCAACCTGAGTTCGATCCCAGGTCTGGTCAAGTGGGATTTGTTGTGGACAAAGTGGGACTGGGGTGGGTTTTTGTCTGAGTATTTCGGTTTCCCCTACCAATCTTCATACCACCAAATTCTCTATCATCATAATCACATGGGGCAGGCTACAATAGGCCAATCAGTGGCCACTGTGCCGAGTGGACCCAGTCGGACTCTCCAGTGTTGAAAGTTTAAACTGAAAAAAAAATTCTTTTACACATTAGTCCTAGAAAATTTATTTAATACAGTAAAACAGCAAATAATTGCAACAGGGATTTACCATAGCAAATTTCTTCAC